TATGGCTTGAAAGAGAACCAGATCTATTCAGAAATTCACATTTGTTTCATGTTTATCTCCATCATATTTTTTTTCAACAACAGAGTTCTATATGGATTGAAAGAGAACCAGATCTATTCAGAAATTATAAACCTTCCCTTTAGTATTTTAAGATAAATTCTTCATTTTTGAAAGCAGTTGGAAATAAATCTTTTGTCTAATCATTTTTGAAAGGTCTCACTAAAATGTACCAAAATGTACTTCTAATAGCAAAATAAAAGGGGTTGGACAAAGATAATGTGTTCGACTATTCATTTCTGAAGGAAGTATTTTTTTAATAATATAGTAGAGTGTCACTTAAATAATTGTAACTCATATAAGATAAGGAAGTGATTATTTTTTAACTGGAGGCTACTAATGCCTTTTGGTTTACTGTACTGTAAATAAACATGATAGCTTTAAAAACTACAAAATTCACATTTTTTTTCTCCAAGTATACTTAACGACAATAAATGTGTTGCTCACTTTGTATGTGTTAAAGAGCTGATATTAGGCCAAACTAACATGAAAATCAAAAGCCATGAAATATTTTCTACCCTCATCAACTTTTCTTTTGGTATAAAATCACTGGTAAATGATATTAATAAAGTTGAAACATTTCAAGCTAACAACTAGTATAATTAAACCTTAAGCAAGTTTACTTTTGACCTTTGGACCTTCTGGAAGCTAATATTGTCATTTTTTTGTTTTGTTTTTAAGATTTAGTTCTTTATTGAAAGCAAGGTGGCAATTGTCTTTATTATCTGTGATAATCACCCCGGAACACTTGCAATTTCCTAAATGCTTTGTACATCTTCACACCTCCACACTTTATTCAAGATTTTCCAATACCTTGGATTCTACTTCCTGCCCCCACTATCAGACTCTGCTCAGGCTTCAAGGCTGTGATCTCCTCTGGAAAATTCCTATGCCTTGTGGTGTTTTTATATCTTTGTAACCTCAGACCATCCAGCAGAGAGGGTTATTCACAGTTAACCTATTGCATCAAATTTATCAGAGCAAAAGCATATTAAGGGGAACACAATCTATCAATTAGTAAATGATTTTTAATGAAAGAAGTCTTTATAAGTTTTAGTCATTTAAGTATCACCTATATCATTAATACTTATTGTCTACATGTCACAAATATTATATAGTTAACATTCTTGATATAGACATCCAAATTTTTAACAGATATATTAAAAAATGCTCAATGGCATAATTCGTGAGAAATGCCATTCGTGAGAATGCTACATTGCACTCATAACATCAAACAGAATGGCTACAATATAAAACACATGATACTGTGGTGATAAGAAACAAGTGGAAATCTCTGGGTACATAATGGTGAGACCACTCTGGGAACATGATGCTATTTATATAAAGTTCAAATGCGGGCAAAATTGTATGTGAGAAGCCATTCCACTGATGGTAACATGAAGATGTTCTTGGATTCTACTAATGTTTTGTTCCCTGGTCTGGGCATGGGGTTCCAGGATGTACTGGCTTGATGAGAATTTCATGTTTCAAAATTTTTGCATTTTTATGTTACACTTTGATAAAACTTTTCCATAAGATAATAAAAGACTTTTTAAATGTACTCATTTACAATGAAATTATATATAGTTACAGAATAACTAATGCCACAAAAAGGTAATAGTAAAAATAAATACAGTGAAACTTTTGGGCTTCCTTTCAGCTTCCCAAACACTGACAGAGTAGAATAGAATCTAGCTAAAAATGCTTTCCACACTGGGGATCACTGTTTCCCAATTCCATCCCCTGCCTTTCCATGAGCTGAAATGGGTTGTTCACTGATTTCTTGAATAACTGATCTTTGTACAGGGATATAAGGTGAACAAAACAGGAGAAACAAAAAACCCACTGTTGAGCAGCCATCATTATTGTGGAGGGAGACCTGCAACAAATTAACTAGAATATAAGAAATCAGGTGTCAGCTTATATTATATAAAGCACTAGACACCTTAGCTGATAGAGTTCCACATCACTTCAAAACACCCAAGTGTACCCCAATGCTTTTCATAACCTCCTTGGAATGAGCAAAGAACACAGTGCTGGATGCCCAAAGGCCAAATGGAGAAGAACATGACACTTTGTTATTTTCTTTCTTCTTTCTTCCCTTCCCCACCAAGCACCTCTCCCACCAGTACTTGAAAGGTATCAGGGTTTTATCATTGTAATTGAAGTTTACAACATTACTAGTAGGTTTCCTGGCTCACTGAAGAGGAGACTTCCATTTGCACATTCTTAGAGAGCAGAACTGTGTGGGTAATTGAATTACTCCCCAACAATTCTAAAAATGACTATTGTGGTTGACAAGGAAACCTGCTAAATGCTACCTTCGATTTCCAAATTTCGTGAAAGGGGAAGTCTTTCTAAGTTTTAAACAATGTTCTTAATTAAATGTGTTAAACAAATGTAAATATAACATAATGGAATATGTAGGTGTGCATGAGATAAAGTACGCTTTGATAATAAATGAAACATTACAAAAGAGACAAAAATAATATCTTAATAGGACCGAAAGTATCTTTGTTTAATGTACTTTGCATTTCCAAAGGAAAATGAGTGCCAGTATCTTGGATCAAGAATAGAAAAAGAGTAAAAGGAGCCATCCCTCTTGGCCTGGCTTCTATAGGAAGGTCCTCTGATAGTTCATAATTCTTGCTTTCCTACTCCTCCACAGAGGCATTCCAACATCTCCTTTCAGCATGGTAATAGTGTTAGAGACTTTTCTGAGGCTCAGTTTCCTCATCTGTAGAACAGGGATAAACTAAAATCTTTACCCAGAAGATGAAGTAAGCATTCTCTGGAAAAGTGCCCTGAATAAGTACCCACCTGGGAAGTTCTCACTGATGCAAAATCCAATCCCTTTATGACTGTGGAGGGGGATGGTGTAATTCTTTAATATCTCAGGGACATTGAGGACATTAGGTCATTTCCCAAAAAATGCAGCTCCTCTGCTGCTGCATGGTGGTAGATAAACATGGAACCTGCAGGAGCTGCACTGCACTTGGTGGGGCTGGGGGGAGGGGCTGTCACTCATTTTAGAGTGTGCGTTTTTGGGAAAGGAATAGTGGATATGAAGAGAACAAGTTAAAAGGAAGTCTCTGGTTTGGTGAGCAATGTGATACTCATTAGTAGTCTCCATATCTTACAGAAAACAAACACCCTAGATAGTCACTTGAAAAAAAAATATGCACATGAATGTATATTTAATCTGTATTGGACTGACCTAAGACACCATACTCAGAAGCAGAGGTGGACCATGAGGAAGTAAGGACAAGAAATGCCAAAGAAGTGTGAGGAGTGTTTTGAGTTTCTTATTCTGACAAATAGGTTCAAGCCCTTTTCAACCAGTTCTCCAAAGAGCAGAAAAGCCTAACAGGCTAATGATGAAGTGTGAAGTCACAGGAACTAGAGAAAAAAATGGCAGAACACTTTTAACACCAAACAATTTAAACAGAATGACTCTCATAGTAATCAGCTAAATTTTATCCTTGCAAGATTTATTTCCACTTTATGAGAAGCACAAGAAATCGTGAACTCCTTTTTTGAAGCACCTTTTGAATAGAATGCATGGAGTTTTCAACTTAAATGAGTTAGTGGACATGTTGAAGCCTAGGGTTCAGGCCAGTAGTAATGGAATGCAGCTTTGCATTGCTAGCCACAGAGGAGAATTCTCTCCATTTCAATAGCTGTCACTGTGGCTTCACATGGAACCCATTTGTACTATTATCCATCACTTGTTATATTGTTTTGCTCTTATCTTCCCTTCTCTCACTTTCTGGGGTTTTCCCCTTCCAACCATTTCCATCCTTCTAAATCTTCCCTGCAAGCCGTGGCCAAGCAATGTTCTTCATCTTTGCTGTATAACATGCTCTGTCTCTTTTTCAAAAGTTTCAAAAGTCTTATCCATATACCACATTCTATATATTTGACTGTATATAGTGAGAATAATGGTACAGCACTGAAGATTATAGACATGAGATGTCACTAATAGAACTGAATTTCTAACACAACATCTATTAGCTGTGTACTCTTGGTAAATATTCTTAACCACACCTCAGTTTGCTCACTGGTAAAATGAAGTTATTAATAATATCTATATTATTAAAATTATATGAGAATTAAGTTGATATTTGGAAAAGTGCTTAGAAGACTATTATTATACCTAGCATATCGTAAGGGATATATAAGATTTTGTTAAGCAAAAAAAGAAAAGCAAACATGATTGGTCATTGACAATTTATAATGTATTAGGTACAAGACCACATGCTATTCATACATAACTTTTGTTAATCACAAAAAAACTTATGAGGTAGGTGTCCTATTTCCTATTTTCAAAGGTTTAGAGAAAGTGATGGAGAAGCAAAAATCCAGGACATTTAACCTAAATCCATAACATTTAACAGTTCATTATTAGAAAGTAGAGGTAAATTTCAGCTCCTCATACACAGAAGTAAGGTGAGTTTGGGCAAGGACTTAAACATTGTAAGTCTTGCCTATAATAATGGCATTCAGGCATCTACCTGCTTTACCTAAAAAAGCTATTATCAGCATAAAATGTCTTACTTTCTGTGAAAGCAGTTGGTAAAATTCCACAGGAATCTATAGTGCTAATGGTAGTTGTACAAATCTATACTTTGTTCCATTCATTTGTTGTATACTACACAAACACACATATGTGTATACATGTGCATAGATGCATGAGAATGGCT